CCCCCCCACCGTTTGATAGTCTCCCTATTATAGTCAATTCTTTCGTAAAGTAAATGGTGTATATTCCATTCCAGTCGGTCGTTGTGTCGGTTATATATATATATATTTATATATCAGATATCAGTAGATGCATATCGAAACTCATTTTGTTTCTTGAGCATTTGTTAACCAGCAAAAAAAAAGTAAGAAAGAGAAAAAGAAAAAAGACAGGAATATAAAATTAAAAATTCTATACGAGAAGACGTAACAAATGAATGCATAACAAATAAAATGCCTAATCTAGTGTGCCTTTTTAAATTATATATATATATACATTGTAAGTAAGTAAGTAAGTAAATCTAAATATGATGTAAACGGACTTAAAAAAAAGAATGTACTGCAATTGCTCACAAGCACGACGGTTTGAATTTTAATTAAGAATGCAAACTGAATAGATGTTGATGGTGAAGAAGAAAAGTGTGATGAAATTCTTAATGCGCTACAAGCACTTTGAAGACGACAAAAAATGATGATAAGAGTTTTAAATGCTTTTTTTAAATGAAGAGATTGATAATAACAATGAAATAATAACGCAATTGAACTAGAATTATTCTTATTTTAGGGAAACTTCTTTGTTGAATCATATACTACTTTTATTTGATTTCTATTAAGAAAAGACAATTTAAAAAGCAAAATTTACTAGTTTATTGTTTGTTTGTTTTTTGTGTCTATCTTTCTTTGTTCGTTCGATTGAAACACGCTGTGTGCCGCTATAATCACAGTTTTTGGGCTTCCAAAACTTATAAACTTAACAAATATATATAGATATATATATGTTATTCATTAAACGATTGAGAGAAAGCAACTAGATCAAATTACGTGTTAAAGACAAAACTGTTAATATATATACATACATTTTTTTTCTTTCGTTCTCGAACCTCCTCTTGCCTATTTTTACCAAATGATTTTTATTTTTGTGAAATAACTGATATTCATGTGATTTTCTATTGTACGATATTTTTTTTGTTTTACATTATTATTTTTTTTAACACTGCGCATTTATGAATGAATTTAAGAATTTTTAGACGATGGCGGAAGGAGATACTATAACAAATAGTTTTGTTATAATCTATATTTTATCACCCATATTCTGTACATTTATTACATATTAAATATATAGTATATTTAAAGTTTCCTACCTCTACTAGTGTTTTATTTTTTCTTTGTAATTTATTTCTCAATCCTTTCATTAAATTTAATATTAGTTTGTAACTTAATTAATATCAAGGCTCTAATTAATGATAAAAAAAAATCTAATTTGAACAGCGCCAAAACTAGGTGAACTATAAGCTTCGCGACGTAACTCAGAGATGGCCAAAAAGTAATATGCAAGTTGGGTTGCAAACATTCATTAATTTTAGCACCGTAGACCACGAAAGACTCTTTTAATGTTTCCACAACACCGTAGTTTTTGTTTTCTTTTATCCTCTTATAATTTATATTTGATCACCTATGTTATGTACAACCAAGTAAAGTTTAACAAATGTTCTTCAGTAGTTTTGTAGCAGGATTATCCTGTTGGGAAGAACTTCTTCGCGGCAAAACGGGCAGTTGGGTTGATACTTCAGACTGTCGTGTATGCAGGACCAGCAGAAGATGTGACCGCAAGGAGTGCAGCTGGTGTTCTTGCAACTCTCCACGCAGAGAACGCAGGTTTTTGAAGTCATCGTCGCTTCCTCTACAAAACTTGTTCTCATCGTCGCAGACTGTTTACTCCTTGCGCTATCGACGAGCAGATAAACCAAATAGAGAAGAGATATCTTTCCCAAGATATTGAAACTCGTCGTAGCACTGCTATCCTGCATCCATTCTCTTAAGAGCATCTGAAAATAGGGAATTCATAATCATTGTTCCCACAATTACTGTAGCAATTACTAAATATTTACATATTTCATACCAGACAGTCGATTCGATATGTTATGGTAAGTACCGAAAATGTAGAAAATCGATTGATGCAGACGTATTATAATGTGTTTGTTCTCTTTCAGAAAGTCCACGGTTTTCAGCAACGTGCCTTTCGCCTCTGGGGTCAAAGTATCGGAGAAATGTATTTTTTTACCAAAGCTGGCTAAAGCCTTATCAAACAATCCCTCACCACCAAGGAATAACACCAACCATAATGTTTGTGACTGAAATTGTGAATGGATTAATTGCAATTGATTTCACACTAATCAAACTTATTATTATTATTACCAATTTGGAGGGAATCTCATTGCCTGAACTTAACCGAACGGTGCCAGTGTATTCCTCACCAAGAGTCTGGTAGTTTCCCAAGGATGTGAGAAAGTAGTACCATGCTTGTGCAGAGATTGGAATGTATTGTCTTATTTTGTGAAATCTTGATCTGGATATGGACTGCAGCACATCGGTGATGTATTCCTCCAGTTCTTTGATGAAAGATACATCCCTTTGGTTGCATCTCAGAATATCACTGATCTCTGCTGGGAAGAGGTTCATTATCTAAAAAAGTAATATTGTTATGTGGTTGCCTAAATCTAATAAGTAAGGAATCTTAAATTTAATGGATACATGCATATTATTAAAGTAATATCTAAACTATTCTAATACCTTAAGCTAGGAAAGAATCCTAATATCACAAATATCAAATAAACAATGATGATGATGATAACCAAGAACTCTATTGATATGGAATGTAACTAACTTCGCGTTATTTAGTTTTATTTTTCCTAACTTCACGACTGTAAGAAGCCTGATTAAATATAGGTTATAAACCGTGAAGGAAAATGTTTAACAATCAATTAATATGCCGGATATTCCGGTCTCAGAGGCCTTTGCTCATCGGCAGGGCGCAAATGAATACGTTGGACATCAAGGAAATAGAAGAGCAGAATGCATTGGAAATCGAAGGTAAAACTACATTCATTCGACTACTGTAGCTTAACAAAAGTTGTATAATAGGTAAAGATGAGGAGACGTTGCTCAGGGAGGCTGAAATTGAGAGGAAACGTAACAAGTCTGGCTTGAGACCGCAGCACAGGAATCTGGTGCATGATACAGTCCCATATGAGCAAACGACCCATTGGGTCCACGACACCCTCAAGTACCAGAGGAAAATGTTTGGCAGGTATGGTAAAGATGCCAATTTTGACCCATCCCTCTGCTGGTACACGAAAAAAGAGATGTCTGCAAAATTGGAATTTGAGAAAGTAGCTTACCCATACAACATCACTGAGCTGATGGAAAAGGTGAAATTGAATAAGCAAGAGAGGATAGATAAAATTGCTAAGCAGCAAGAAGATATAGCCATGAAGATCCAGAAACTGGAAACCTGGAAGCAGGAATTGAAGAATAAAATTGAAAAGAAGGAAGCTGATGCTAGGAACGCCAAGGTTTGATTTTTTTTTACTGCAATCATATGTGAAGGTATTGATTAATCTTGTGATTTTCGCAGGAACGCAAGGAGAAACTGATCGAGGAAGTGCGAAGACACTTCGGGTACACCGTGGATCCGCGCGACGAAAAATTCAAAGAAATGTTGGATAAGAAAGAGAAGGAGCAGAAGAAGGCTATGAAAGAGGCCAAGAAGAAGGCGAAGGAGGAGAAATTGATAAAGACCTTAACATCGAAACCGGGGGATTCCAAGAAGTTGACGGAGGAGGAGCAGGAGGCGATTAAGGAATGATCGGCGAAAATAAACTAGTATTAAATTAATTAATTTATTTTTCTAAATTCGCTAAACAAAAAAAAATTCAAGCGAATATTGTTCAACCTCTGCCGCCTCCACCAGCGGCGTTCGCCTCATTGGGATTGGTTCCTGTTATGACCATGATCAATACTACCGGTACAATGTAAATCCACTAAAACAAAAAGAAAGAAAGTAGTTAAATTTATGTATAAAAACGTAAGACTGTGTTTGATTTCAATTACGTATTTTGCCAAAAATGATCTGTTATCTTTGACGTCTCCCTTTTCTTTAGCCTCGCGTTCCCTTTCAATTTTCTGCACATACGAAGCTGTATCTGGTCTGGAAATGACACGAAGTTTTAAAATATGAAAAGTACATTCATAAACTATTAATACACACCCTGGGCCACTGTGAGTATGTCTAACAAAGACATTTGAACTGAACTCCTTCAACTTGTTGAGAGGTACATTGGCGCCTTGGCAAGTAGAAGTTGATGGAATGGACTCGGTTATAGTGATAATCCTTCCAGTGTAATCCAATGTGATTGTTATAATATCAGCTAATTCTGCTTCAGCCAACATGCACTAGAAACATAAAATCAAACTGTCCATGCAATTGCATACTTAGGTATCAACATCATTAATTATTTACAGCTTTAATTGAAGACAGGAAACTGTAACTGCCATCATTTGTGACCACTGTTGCTCTCATCTGATAGAACTTATTTTTAGCGGCCAAATTCTGTATCTTGAGCCTATCCTCATTGGAGAGCGTCTGCTGTGCCAAAGCAGTTCCAATCCTCAAACTGGGAATACTGATGTTACCCCTCTCTGTGAACTTTGTGTTTGCTGTACCGTCCAATCCATGCTCCAGCTTTACTTGCACCATCCCATCATATTCGACGAGGCTCTGAAACACGACATTCATATAAGAATCTTATAAATACAATGATGTGAGAATAAGTTCTGAACATCATGTACAATTTTGTAAAAGAATACTCACTGCTGCTGTTAAAGAGACGAATAGGGCTACAATGACTAGTTTCAGCATTTTAACGCTGTAATTCCCTATCAGTCTATAATTTTAATTGATTTCTTACTGAAAATGATCACGCACTTACACCCATAACAAAATTACCTTACCTACGATGACAGCAATTTTAGCATGGTTGCCAATTCTCTTGAAATCTAAATTAATTTAAAATGTACGTTAATTTGAATTTAAAATAACTTCCCCTCGAAGTTGTAACAATTATGTAAAAAAATTAACAAAAACAGATATTATGAACATCTTCCAAGTCTTTGATGTACCTTTTTTTTTTTTAATTTATTACTTCATCATGGCAACATTGCTTTCTAAAACATTACTTAACCTCACTATAACCAACAAATATTCAAAATACTGTTGCTTAGCGATAAACAGTTGGTTCGTTTGCAGAAATATGGTAGAATCGCAGAATAACGTGTGCTGTCCCAAGCCTGGAGCTGGTGGAGAAAAGTTGAAGGTATTGGCAATACATGGCTACAGACAAAATGCAGAAGTCTTCAGGCAGAAGACAGGTTCCTTCCGGAAGATGGTCCACAAGTGGGTACAGTTCACGTATGTAACGGCCCCACACAAAGTCATTTTGGTGGATGAACTCAACAATGATGGAGAGGAGGTCAACATCGGACAAAGTGCAGACGAAGGTAATCATTTCAATCAACAATAATTAATTATTATTTGAAATATTGTGCTTTTGGTTCCAAGTCAACAATGGTCCCCTAGCAACTAATAACAACGATATTTTGATTTATTTAATTAAATATTTATTTATATTTTTCAAATTAAATTCAAGAGCAATACGGATGGTTCTTCAACAGGGATAACAAGACATACAGGGGTATAAGGAAAGGAGGTCCCGCAGTTGGTTTTGAAGAGAGCTTGAAGTTTATTGAAAAAGTGGTGGAGGAGCAGGGACCATTCAATGGGATCATGGGATTCTCACAAGGCGCCTGCTTTGTAGGGCTTCTGTGCGACCTTCAAGCCAGAGGAAGTAAGTTGACAGAAAAGCAACGATCTGTAATTAATGATAATAATATCATATTTTTTTTGTAGTGCTTCCCTACAAATTCGATTTTGCCATCATGGCATCAGGCTTCAAATCCGATTGTCTACCGCACAAAAAGTATTACTCCGAACCAATCAGTATACCCACCTTACACATTTACGGCGAAACGGATAACATAATTCCCACAGGTATGTTTTACGTTTATCTCGAAACATCGCCGCTGCTGCAAAAGAACGGATGCGCGCGCGTTAATGAGTTAACACATCTTTAAAAGTTATCAAACTGCGAGAAATGGGTCAAAGATTATTGTTATATCGCTTCAATTTTTTTGCAGAAATGAGCAAATCCCTGGCCACCGTATTTGGAGAGCCGCTCGAGATTTCACATCCCGGAGGGCATTACCTGCCAGCTACCGCTGTGCAGAAAAAAGATTACCAAACGTTTTTTAAATTATTTATGAATTAAGTAGATGCAATTTTTAACTTTTTAAGTTGAGAGCACTTTAAATTATCTAATAAGACATATTTGACCCGCGGAAGCTAAGAAATTAAAAAAATAAAGTATATTTTATTTTGAATAATGGAAAGCATTTAATTACACCTCGTCACCTCGCTGACTAAGAGCAATCGAAGATATTATATCTTTGTTGATGTTTGTTTAAACGCGTTCTCACGTCTGCACTGAATGTTTAACATTTATTTGCACATGTTTAATAACATTGCAAATGCAAACGTTTGCTTATTTGTATTTAATTTCGCGTCTCCGGTAGAGGATGTTTGAATAACTTTTTGGGGGATAACGATTGTTTTGCACTATCTGTCCTACTTAGAATACAATAAAACCAATTTTTTTTTCTTTTATATTAAAAATATTTTGAAGTGATAAGGAAATGTGTACACTTTTAAACTTTCGTGATAAGCTATCGCAGCTGTGCGCGAGTTCAGATTAATGGAATGTAGTATGTCAATCATTGCTCGAGTAATTCGGCGACTGTGTACAACGTATTGATGTTCGGTCCGCAGTTGATTGAATTTCGTGCGAATTGCTTTAGAGTGTGCGACCTCCTTTTACTCCTCCTCCTCTCATCATCATCATCGCGATGGAGCTGATCGAGGCCAAAATCACGGCCATCATCTGCCTAATCCTGGGTAGCATGCTCGTCGGCCTTCTGCCATCCTGGATCTCCAGGTACGGCAGAAACAATTACCCGCTTCTCCTGTCGTCGCTCCTTTGTTTGGGCGGCGGAGTCCTCCTCTCCACCTCGCTGGTGCACATGCTTCCCGAGATCCGGGAGAGCTTTCCCAAGTACGGCGAGTACACGGAGGTCCTCTTCTGCGCTGGATTCTTCATTTTATACCTTATCGACGAGGCGGTGCATTTCTGCTTCGGCATCAGCCACGACCACGGGAGCAGCAGCAGCAGGCAACATCAGCCTGAAGGAAGAAGGAAGGTCTACGGATCGGTGGAGACGCAACCGCTGATTTACGAAAGACAGGATCCCTACAATCCCCATTACGAGGACGTCGAGACAATCACTAGCAACAATCAACATCATCATCACCACCACCACAATGAGCACCAGCAGCAACCGTCCCAGCTTTGTCACATCGGACACGAGGAGCCCTGCCAAAACACACCTGTGAATTGCTTCGGCCTTCTGGCCGCGTTATCGATACACGCAGTTCTCGAGGGTTTAGCAGTCGGATTGGAAGTTTCTCCGTCGCAGGTGATGAATAATTATTAATGTCTATTTGCACAATAGATAAGTAAGACAATTAATTCGAAACACTTACTGGGATTTAATTGTAATTTTATCATAGGTATTCTTGCTGTTTGGAGCGATCGCCTCGCACAAGCTGGTAGTCGGTTTCTGCCTGGGAGTGGAATTAGCTTCGATACAAGACAACAGCGCCCTGAGGCACTTCATAGCGATTGTGATCTTCAGTTGCGGCACTCCTTTGGGCATCACCGTCGGAATGTCCATTGCGAACATCCCTAAGCACATCATTGAATACCTCCTACCCATTTTACAGGTAATAATACAATCACAATTAAGCAAAAACAACAACAAAACTTTTTTTCAGTGTTTGGCCGGCGGTACTTTGTTGTATGTGAGCGTGAGCGAAGTGCTGCCTCGGGAAAGGGCGCGATGGCATCAGCAGACCGGGAACAGGAAGGCCGGAATCGTCCAATTCCTCTCCGTCTTAACGGGATTCGTGATTATGACTGTCCTAACACATTACATGGGTAATCTCCACAGTTGATTCAACCTGCTTCATAAACTTAACTGACGCAATGCAATTTTCTATTTCCAGAGCATTAACGCTTTCGTTTGCGTTAATATATATATTTATATACTGACGAAGACGATTCGATTTAGCTTTTAAGTTCATTATTTTTATAAATATATTTTTTTATTTTACTGCTGCTATTTAAGCAACAATCATTTCCAAGTTTCCATCCTATTAAGTTAAATATTTTATTTAATACAACTTGCTAGGAAAAGAAATCTTCTAGGTTAACATAAACAATTAATTTTATATAGAATTTCAAATTTTATTATGTTACAAATAGCACGGAACTTACAAATAGACAACTCCACCATCCTCAACAACCATATCATCATCTTCCTCCTCATCACTGCTCTCCTGCATATCCTCAGCATTAGCTTCAGCAGCTTTACGCTCCTTGAGACCAGCTGCAGGCGATCTGATGAGAGCCAAATCCCTTTGCACTTCCTTGACGTCATGCTCATCCTCCAGTTCCCTGCCCTTGCGCAGCCTCTGCATGATGTAGTGGTTACTCCTCTTGCCCTTGATCTCTTCGACCTTCTTGATGGCGTCGATGGCCCTAGTCCAGGTCTGTCTATCGTATTTCATTGGCATATTGCGACGTTTCTCGAATTCGAAGGACGGATCGACCTGCAACTCCTTGCCAGCCGCCTTCCTGTATGCCTTCGTCCATTTGGTCTTACGTGGATTCTTCTTCCTCTTAAACGCCGAATGGCATTTCGATCTGCAGAATCTGAAGATCTACAAAACACGAAAACATCATGAACATAACCATGCTTTTTCTCCAAAAGGTTATTAACACCATCACTCACCTTGCAATCGTTCCTCACGAATTGTATTCCATGTCCCGGGTATATTTTGCACGAGCAAAAGTAGCACGTCTCGATACGCATTGTGTTGTTCACTTATTCACTACTTTTCAATAATAAAATTAAACTGAACCCCAAAAACACGTTGTTTGGGTTCAAAAGCGCAGTCTTAAAAAGGATCCCCAACTGTCAAGACTGCAGTGAAGTTCGTTTAAAAATAAAAATCTGTAGATACCTGTAACGTGAAGTTATCGCTGCAACAGTGTCTCCAAAGCCAATTAACAAATTGTTTGATGTTTCTTTCGATACACAATGTTTTCCTACATCTGTTGCAGTTGACTTAAAATGTTTGCCTCGCAATATAAGTTGCCAGTATATTTTAAATAACTGTAAAATGTAAGGTTTATGTGAGGGCGTGTATGAAAGTTAGGAAGCACTGAGTGATATGCATAATATTTACTTGTGTTTATCACTGTAGAACAATTACAAATATTTTGTATTTGTTGTATCTAGGTATCTATGCAATGTTAGGTAATGAATTCATTGATTAATTGTGGAAAATCAATGTATTTTTTTCTTGTTTGCACGTTGGTAGCAGCAAAGTAATATCTAAATTCCGGTTGGTAGATATTGTAGATAGGGCAATTGGATATAAAAAAAAGTACCGAGAAAATATATATCTTGTCTGCAAAAAAAAAAAAAGAAGAATATAGGAGAGTGATGTTGTTCAAGAATTGAGAGGAATAAAAGTACTTATTTGTTCAGCTGAGAAGAGCGTAAAACTCATCCCGAAACTAATCTAGAGAGTTGTGGCAGAGATGGCAGAGGCTGCAGTCGAAGAGAATGTGAGATTCTACTGTCATATGTGCAACATCAGATTTGTGAGCACCTCACAAGTGAGTACCACCAAAATCTCATTCGCAGAATGTATTGGTGATGTACTGTTATCTTGTGTGTGTTTTGTAGAATTTCAAATGTCCACAATGCTCAGACGGCTTCGTAGAGAAGCTGGAATCCTCAGCACAAAACGACGAAATGGATATCGACGAGGGTACTCATGATGGATTTTACAATGTAAATGTAATCAGGTATGGTCCTAATAGAGGAAGACGATTCCATCATAGGATACGATCAAGGTTAACATAAAACATTAACATTTCAAACAAACCAAAAAAAAAACTAACAACAAAAAAAATTGCATGACCTCTTAACCCCCCCCCTGCCCTCGTATATATATGTGCTGTGTACTCCATTCTATTCACTTGCATGGATTTGCATAGGATGGTGTAAAATTGCTGAAGGAAAAAAATATAATATATATATATATGTATGTAGATAGGAATTCCTGTTAGAATCAAATAGGATTTTGAATGTCGAATACTTTTATGGATTTGTTACAAAAATATTTATGTGATGATGCGCTCTTGTAGGCCTATAACAAGATTGCAGACGCCGCACTTGATGCAACCGCAGACTTTCGAGAATCTCATCCAGGAAATCATCGTTAATTTGGGTGTGGGCGTGAACGTAATGGGTGGCAATGGTAATATGCAATTTGTTTTCGGCAATCCGGGCGATTATGCATGGGGCCGTGAAGGATTGGATGCCATCGTCACGCAACTTCTCAACCAAATGGATACGCCGGGTAAATTTATTTGTAAATTTATTGGAATTCATTAGTTAATTGGTTGCGTTTGTGCAGGTCCACCGCCTTTAGCCAAAGATATAATTGATGCAATCCCAGTGGTGGATGTAAGCAAAGAACAGGTGGACGCGAAGCTGCAGTGCTCAGTGTGCTGGGAAGCTTTCCAGCTGAACGAGAAAGTACGGCAATTGGCTTGCCAGCACGTGTACCATGAACCGTGCATCAGACCATGGTTGGAACTGCACAGCACGTGCCCGATTTGCAGACAGGACTTGGGCACCGATGAACCACCAGCAAACGGTTCATCCGAGACAGCCAATTCAGGAGGTAACAGCTCTCTGCAAATGACAAACAATCAATAAGGCAATTGACCTGACCGTTTTTCCGATTCACATTTCAGGCATCACTCTGCAAAACACTTTGCAGCATCTATTTCAAGTAGTGCAGAACTCGCGAGGCGGCAGTTCCTCCACATCAGAGCAACACGAGAGTCAGTAGTTTTAATGTCACAAGAGTGAATATTTAAACAAACAAACATAACGATAATTACTTGAGACACATAAGAAATTTAAGGACTGCTTGTAATTGTAATTTGAATCACTTCAGGTTTTCTTTCTTTTTTTTTTTCCTCCTTCTTCTTTTCTTTTCAAAGTCGATGTATGATAATAAAAGTTTAGTTAAAGTATCATTGATTAAATGTAATGTAAATGTATCTATAAGTTAACTTATATATAGATATATATTGGCAAGTATATATATACAAGTATATATAACATAATTCCATTAATATAATTTAATGTAAATATACTGTGTATAGTCGTGTAATTTGTAAGTGATTTGTTAAAGATTTATCAGTGGAGGATTTTAAATTATTTGTTTGTTTTTTCTTCTTTTGCATTGTTATAGAATTAATTATGGATTATTCTTGGTTTATGTGTTAAGAGAGGACTTACGAAGCTTTCGAACATTTTATAAAGTAACATTTGCGTGTATTTGCGAACTATTTAAATAAATAAACGAGTACGACGAGAAGAAACAGCGCAAGCGGCGAGTCCATTCACCTTTTCTCAATCTCCGCTCCGGTCCTTAAACCGATGGAATCATATAACCTAGAAATTTGCTCTTTAAACCCAACTACCTCGACGAAAATGAATGATGTTGATGCACCGGAGGCGAAATCCGAAGGCGTCCAATGCAAGCACTTTGTTAAACGGAAACACAGGTTCTGCAAGATGACCGTGAAAAGGGGCTTCCAATATTGTGGTGAGCATCTGCCAAATGACCCACAGAGTGAATGTGCTGAAGACTCAAAGACCTTGAGGATAATATGTCCCTTGGACAATAAACAGTATGTATTTAATTATGGAATTATAGAGATTTGAATTATTTTGTTGCAGTACTTGCTTCGCTCACAAGCTGCAGAAGCACTTGAAGATATGCAATGCTCAGCCAAACACCAATTTACCGTACATATCCAAAGGAGTGAACTGTGGCCAAGTGGACCCAGACTCTACACTCACCCTGCAAAACACCAGGCAGTTATCCTCAGTGCAGCCAGGAGCGATAAAGGATTTGGTGCAGAAAATAACGAAAATTTACGATGGTAAATAGTGAAATAATCAATTAAGAGTCCATAAATTGTAATAGCATATCGTAGAAGCAATTGATGGAAAGATTCTGACCAACGTACAGAAACACGAGATACTGGAGGTCGAGCTTAAGAAACCCGAGTTCGGCGATCGCACGAAAAAGCATCTGATACAGGCCTCGTCCATTGTCGGTATACTGCGGCAGAAGGATTTGATCAAAGATGAGACCTGCTACATTGAATTCGGAGCTGGAAAAGGTGATTGATTTTTCTCTCTTTTAGTTGGAAATTGCGAGAGAGATCAATAAAGAGTCATTAAATTTAGGTCAGTTGAGCTATTGGATCGCCCAGGCTGTTGCCGATACAAAGAGCAGTTCGGTGCTTCTCGTGGAGAGAGCATCGCACAGGCACAAGTTCGACAATAAGCTGGACAAATCGGAGGGACGTGTGCACAGGGTCAAAGCGGATATCGGGGATTTGATGTTGAATAAGGTGGAGGCTGCGGAAAAGTGCGCCGGAGTCGTTGGATTGACCAAACATCTATGCGGAGATGCTACAGGTAGATAATCATCTCTATTTGCTTCAAATTCAGTTCATCATTGCTAAATATGTTTGCAGATTTGACTTTGAGATGTTTGCAAACTTATGAGAGTAACGGTGGAAAGGTGTTTGGAGTGATCATGGCGTTCTGTTGTCACCATCGTTGTCAATGGACTGCTTACACGGGAAAGGACTTCTTTGCTGTACGTTCTTTTACAAATTACAAATCCAGATGAATTTAGTGATGAATTACATTTCAGAAACACGGTTTAACCAGAGACGAATTCGATATTATGTGCGGTATGGTGAGTTGGGCCGTGTGCGGAAGCGGTCTGAGTCGGGAGTCGAATAAGGATTCGAAGGAAATCCCTGTGAACGAAAGGTGCGATTAGTTTTATCAATTTTGTTGTTTGCGATTATTTATTGTGTATATTTGAATTTCAGGGACAAAGAGATTGGATTGAGCAGGGAGGAAAAGGAGGAGGTCGGACGAAGGTGTAAGAACATATTAGATTACGGACGTATGCATTTCATGGAATCACTTGGATTCGGTTGCGAGATGTTTTATTACGTCGATGCCAGCGTATCGCCGGAAAATGTATGCATCGTAGCTGTGAAATGAACGTTATTTAATAAATTTTAATTTAAACACAATGCAAGAAATCAAATTAACTGACATCCTATGTGTTATCATGAAGTTAAGTATGCTCAATTTGTATGGGTATGGTCAAGTTTGGTGAAAAAGAAGTTTTGAAATTGTTTAAATTTGGGTTTGCGGGGGAAAAAGCTCGCGCCATAATTGATTTATTTATAAGTTGGTATTGTAAATCTGATGAGGTTGTTGCCTAATCGAGTCGAAAAAAAAACAACAAAGTGAAACGTTTTTTAAGCGAATGCGAGTGAGCGCGCGGCAAGCAAATTGGCTGACTTCAGGATCGTTCTAGAGCGCGGGTCGATAAGTTTTTGCACGCGCAGTCTCGCACATTTTGTCCGTTGAGTTTGGTTGAGGTAGTCGTCATAAGCAAGCAGTAGTAATAAATAACCATGCCCGTACCAAGCATCCAGAAGCCGGCTCCGGTGTTCAAGGGCACCGCCGTCGTCGACGGCCAATTCAAGGAGATCAGCCTCGATCAGTACAAGGGCAAGTACGTGATCCTGTTCTTCTACCCTCTGGACTTCACGTTCGTCTGCCCGACGGAGATCATCGCCTTCTCCGATCGTTCCGATGAGTTCGAGAAGATCAACACGCAGGTGATCGGCGTGTCCACGGACAGCCATTTCAGCCATCACGCCTGGATCAACACGCCGAGGAAGCAAGGCGGTCTCGGCAAGATGCAGATCCCTCTGCTGGCCGACAAGTCGATGAAGATCGCTCGCGATTACGGCGTCCTCGACGAGGAGTCCGGCGTTCCGTTCCGCGGTCTCTTCATCATCGACGTCAAGGGTGTCCTCCGTCAGATCACCATCAACGATCTGCCGGTCGGTCGTTCCGTCGACGAGGTCCTCCGTCTCGTGCAGGCCTTCCAGTTCACCGACGAACACGGCGAAGTCTGCCCAGCAAACTGGAAACCCGGCAAGAAGACCATGAAGCCGGACGTCAACGGTAGCAAGGCCTACTTCGAGAGCGGCGACCAGTAATCATCATCAGTCGCACAGCCAGAGCCACCTCCTCCCAAAATTATTATTATTTAAATTAATATGTATTTCTGTGTTATATATATATATATATATGCATCATTGTTATCCCAGTTATTTGTAGTAGCGAATTGTAAAACAAATACCTATTGTTAAACGTATTACACTACCATTGTATCATAATGAATATTATACCAATAAAAATAAGAATAGAATAACTTTGCATTCTTGCTTTCATACATCCAAAACGACCCTGGAAATAATCTATTCACAAAAATTTCACACGAAATCCTCATTTTTTCTATAGATTTTTTTTTTGTATGTACAATACAATATACGTGCGAATGTATCGTTTCATCATTGATAACTTTTTTCCCCTCTCGTTGATAACGAATCTTCGAGTATCATCGAGATATTTTCCCTAAATCCACGGATTAAAACATATAGATATCCACAAAAACATTACTTAACGTATCCATAACCAACAAAGCAATTTGCTGTGCCAAGTAAATCTAATCTTTATAGCATCATCAAACATTCGAAAATAAGCATATGAATTGCACTTATTATCATATTAATAATTCTTTAGAGAACATGTTTCCAGCACACACCTTGATTGTCATTACATATTCGTGGCAATTATTGTCATGCACGCATTCTTTTCTAGAAAAGTGTAATATCAATCTAGTGTATTGTGTTGTATAACAATGAAACACAAAGAAATCATAGTAATTACTTCATTAAATATCGTTTTTTCTTTTTTCATATATTATATAACTATGACATATCTTTCAAAACAATTAAATGTCAGCTGGAGATATTGCAACAAGTGTCATAATCGTATGATGTAATTGTATATTTGTCAGTTCAATTGAACACGAATCGTAGTAATGAGAGAATATTTTTTATGAAATTCTTATTGTTTAAAGTGTGATTCTATTAAAATCCTATTTTTTTTCTTCTTAGATGACGAAATTAAACGTCATGGTTACGAAATGCACATGAGCAATCCAATTTTAATAAATTTTCCACGTTAGTTAGGAAACTTTCATCAACTGTTTGAATAAACATAATCGACGACTCGTTTCTTGATTTAAAGAAAAAACATAAATTGCGCGATAAAAGCGATTTAAATTAGAAAACTGGACTTTACGTTCGCGATAAGAAAAAAAAACATTGAATCATGCGGATTTCGACAAAATTTCAATCTACTTGTTACATCCTTAAATACGACCAACAAATAAAAGAGTAAATAAATATCAATCGGCTCGTCTCAAATAATCATTAAGAGATAATACATTTAATTAAAATAAGTTCATTAATAAATGCGAACTGAGAGGCCTCGAAAACATCGCACATGTCTGTACATTAACGTTAGCGAAGAGTGCCTCGTATAAACAAAACTAAAATGGTTACGCAACAGCCCTCCAGGCTGAAGCTGTCACATTGGATAATGTTGCATAAAATAAATGAAATAAATTTAAACTCATTACACGTATAATTTCAGGAGAAGCATAATAATAATATTCCGGTTTGTTAATAATTTTGTGAAAACTTTCCTCACTCTCGGAAAATCCTTTTAATCCATTATTCATATGAAGTATGTCATCAAATTAACTGACAGTTAGTCAAATCAAATTAATGACAATCGTATGTTCAAAGTACTAATTTATTGCAAACTTTGAAAATAAGCTGCTTCAATGTTTACTCTCTTTTATTCAAATATTTGCGAATAATTTCAATAAATTGATTTTAACATCTAAGCTATTACCAGTTGCATATTTGTTTTCTCTACGTAAATCTACAAAAATAATTCTGACATGCTAAACGATGTATATATCTTTTGTTTTTAAGTTTCTGTTGAGAAAGTCCATATGTTTAGTGAACGAAATTTTCTGTTCGGATAACAATAACAATTATGTCTGCAGTTTGCTAACGCTTGCATACTCGAATTTGCTGATCGAGTCAAAGTCTCTCCCACCCATCATAATTGGATGCCTGCGTTAATGCAGACATAAATCTGGTCACTATTTACAAAAACCAAAAAAGAGAAAAAGAAAAAGTATACACGTCGCATCTTTATAATTGCACATACGCAAACCTGGAATGGAGGTGTTATTTATTGCTTTCTGTTTAATTACTTTAGTTAATGGATACAATTACACGAGCATTATTGCGACAGGTATGTTAATTGGAACAATTTATTAGTGGAAATTAAATTCGAATTGGAAGGTGGAGATGGTGATCTACTGGTGCCGGATATTCTGAGGATCGCAGAAGCCTTAGAGGAAGCGACGCAGGGAAGGTGTCGGGAGGATTTCAGAGCTTATCTGGAGGGATTCGCGAAGCAGGAGAGATGGGCAATGAACAGTAACAGTTTAAACAGTTTTCGAGAATTTCACCTAAATCCCTTCAATTTCAGTGTTCGACTCTTCGGTGAAGTTTCCTCAAGGAATTCTTGCAGGAAATTCTTACCAGCTGGGAAATTTCGATCAATGTTTATCCGATGATTTCGGCCAGTATTGCCTGATTCAAATATCCAGCAACAGTTTTGCCAAAGAAACTCAGGTGATTTTCAATTTATATTTATTAACTCAATCAAGTTTAATGAACTTAACGCGTTCAGTATTCGTTTCGAATGTTAATCAAAAAGTATTTGCAAGTGGATTAAAACCAGTCTTATTTTAAAATTTAAGTATAAACGAATGTTCTCGAAGAACGGAAGTAGTGTTCATTGGGCGATCTGCGTTCCATCCAGCTGCAGCCCGGAGGAAATTCGTGTACTGTTCGAAGATGTTTTCCAGAGATTCTTCGATGAATCAGCGTTGGCTGTCACAGTGCCTCCATCTCTTTGCAGCAAGAACCAAAGGAAACCGATCACCTACTTGGAGATAATCTACAGGTGATGCGTGATTATTGCGGGAGGAACAAAAAAAAACAATCAATCAATCAATATTTACCAATCAATTATAAATTCAGCTCGATCATCTGTTTGTTCGTGACGTTCGTTCTCGGGACGACGCTCTACCACGTCGTTCACATCCGGAAGAAATCGAAGAGGTCGGAGTACGCGTTGGACAGGAGCAGAAAGACGGATCCTCTTCATAAGCAAATTCTGATCTCTTTTTCGCTGATCAGAAACGCGTCGAAGATCTTGGCTGTACGGAGCACCAACAACGAGCTGAATTTGGATTGCATCTGCGGCGTACGCGTCATCTCGATGGTGATGATTTTGTCTGGGCACTGCTTGATCTTTCGCATCACCTCGCCCATCGTCAACGCCGATTTTTACGAAAACGTGAGCGCTGATCACACACTTTTTCTCTTTCAATCATAAATTAATAATTTAATTTCTTCAGGAACTCGGAAAACCGCAGAACGCTATTTTCTTGAACAATCCTCTTCTCGTCGACACCTTCCTCTTGTTGAGCGGTTTCCTCTTCTGTCGTTTACTGTTGCAGGAGCTGGAAAAGAAGAAGGGTGGTGTTAACGTGTTCTTTCTATACATCGCCAGATACGTCAGGTAGTTACACACTTGATACTTCAAGTAGTCAAGTAGTTACTATACGCAATACGCCTTTTGTTTTTAATCTCATGACGTTTCTTTTAGACTGACGCCTGCCTACTGCGTAGTTTTGGGATTCTACTGCACGTTCCTCCTGCGTTTAGGCGATGGTCCTCTTTGGCAGCAGAAAGTGGGCGTCGAGCAGGAGCGTTGCTTGAATTCTTGGTGGACTAATCTCCTCTACCTCAACAATTACCTGCAAACTGATCAACAGGTGCGTTTCTTTCTCTCTACAAACATCATCAACAACAATAATAATAATAATAATTAATAATAGTGCATGTTCCAATCCTGGTACCTTTCCGTGGACACGCAACTCTTCGTCTTCGCACCGATCGTCATCTACTCGCTGTGGAAATGGACGTTGCTCGGACCTCTTCTGCTCGCTTTAACCCTAATGGTAACGGCGATTTTGCCGTGGTTAATCACCTTTTTCAGGCAACTGGATCCCACGCTCATGATTTATCTGAAGTAATTGGTTTATCTTAATGAAAGTAAAGTGTGAATTTTAATTATTTGTTGTTGTTGTTGTTGTTGTTGTTTTAGTGAGATTCAAGATTTGACGAACAACCATTATTTCAAGACTGCCTACATAAAGACGGAGATGCGCGCTATTAGCTACGTGATTGGTATGGTCTTCGGTTATGCGATTTACAGATTGCAAGGGTAAAACTGTTCATAACTGTTCATTTTCTCCGAGAAAGAAATTACACGATTACCTTTTTTTTTGCAGATTTAGAATCCCGAATTACGTGATAATATTCGGAAATGTTATAGCTTTGTTATGCGGATTTGCCTCTTTATTCTCTATAATTCTGTTCTACTCTCCGGCGTACGAATACAACGTTTGGATTTCAGCGATTTATGCACCTCTTCATCGACTTGGTTGGTGCTTCGCCATGGGTTGGATTGTCTTCGTGTGCGTTCTCGACAAAGCCGAAAGTTTTCTGGGCAAATTCCTCAGCTCCAAAATATTCGCGCCTCTGAGCAAACTCACGTACTGCGCGTATCTGGTGAACGGAATAGTCGAGATCTACAGTGCCGGATCTATAAGGGTTCCCATCTACTTAAGCATCTTTAATTTGGTAAAAAATTCTATTCGAAAATTTTACTGTAACTTTAATATTCATTAATTTTAATTTGCAGAGTGTCGACGTCGTAGGACACGTTATCATCACGTTTGCGATTGCATTCGTCATCTGTTTACTCTTTGAATCACCGATACACAATTTGGAGAAGATCCTCATAAAAAGATGTGAGTGCATTTTCGTTCTTGCAAAAACAATAAATGTGGATTTTAAATTGAACATTTGCTTTCAGATACATCTGAGCCTAAGATAATAAACGAAGACACTTAAATTTTTAAAATCGTACTCAATATTTTTATACGAATTGCTAAGCAAGCAATCGTTGCTATGGTAATAATGTAAATACAACAAAGGGGAATCGAAATAACAGAAATTGTTCAATATATTTTTTTTTTTATTAAATATGTAAATACAAACACAGGATAAATATATTTTAAACATTTAATAACAATTATAAAGCTTTAAGAAATACAGATATTCTGTCCAACGTCTTCAGTTCTATTATTTTCACTGCATTCCACAATCTTGCTGATTGAAGATGCACTGGGCATGGAGAAAACGTCGGCCAAATACTGGAAGCAGCTCTGGCTGCGCTTGTAAATGTTCACAGCCAAATCCTTGTTTGCAACTGTGTACCTCCTTGCACCCATCACCTTCTTGACATTGATCAGTTGGCACTCAATAAACTCCTTCACCCTTTCATCAAGCAAATGGAAATATTGAAATTTCCTGCATTTATTTCTGTAATGCAGCATCATGTTTCTTGTGAACCTGTTCTTCATCTTCAGCCTCCTGATTTCACTGTTCTTCAGTCTCAGCCTCTCAATCAGTTCTCTGTCTGGCAGAGGCTCAGGTATCACCACAACATTCTCATCCTTCAGAGGTCCTTCATCATCATCTTCATCGACTTCCTGCTGCACCATGTATGTTTTTACTTTAACCAGATCCTCATCATCCACTGGTAAATTCTCTGTCAGTAATGGGATGTCCGGTGGTTGGAATTTGGATCTTATTCGATAGTGCTCAGGGAAATGCAAGTTACAGACCCTGTACTGAATCCTCACTGTGTCTGGATGGATGCAGAAGAGATTCTTGTTTTTGCTTGCTTCCACCCATTGCTTGAAGACGGGCGAATGCGTTGGTGGAAATGACCTCAGCCTCACGTTTTTGGCCCACCCCGATTGGCAACCAATTACAGCGCAATGAACCATCCTCGGAAATTATGTACAATTAAAATTATCTGAAGTTTGATTGCAAAAATCGTACTCACGTCCGAAGTGCTCGAAGTTTCAATCTTCTGCTATTACTCTTATATACATTTTAAAATGCTCAGATATGAAATATGCTTATGCCATACTTCCTACTAATATAAATATTTTTCTGGTTTTCTTATATAAACAAGTATAGAGCATTTGCATTTCCTTAATTGACTCTCTCATATGGCTGGAATCAGCAGTAAAACAAATAATAACATTATGTTTGGTTATACTATGCAACCAAGAATACACATAAACCATAACACGGAACAGCGCCGAAAACTATAGGCTTTGCGTTGAAAAGCAGAGGTGGCGTGGATAACATGTGCAAATTGGGTAGCATATATCACACATTAATATTACACATTAGTTCCAATTACTACTTCTTAATTAAAGCCTTAATTAAGATTTACCATTAACCAAAATATGCCTTATTTTGTTACCTTTCCATATGTAGCTTTTAGTAAAACTAGAAGCAATTAATTATTGAACTATGAATGATTGAATATTTTTTAGAAGATAAGGAAACATTCTGGATAGAATTCCACCCCATTGAGTGGAATTTGTGTATATTTATAAAATATTTATTTAAAATGTGAAATAACTAAACAAAGATATTCAACGAGTATACTCAATGTAAAAGAAATAAAACCTAACGATTAATATCACAATTCTTGTAGAACTTATTAAGTAGAAACTGTACATTCAAATCTGTTTCTTTTCATTATTATTTTATTTTCTGAGAAGAAAATGTGATCACATTCGAAGACTATTACTCTTGTAAGAAGGTACTGGTAGGTACTCGGACTCGGACTATGGCACACCGCATCACATCATCTACATTCTGTATACATATAAAAAAAATATACGAAGTAATTCGTAAGCCTTACGGCTTTTTCATGGTTCTATTCTACACATATACACTATATATATATATATATCGCTTTCTCTCAAGCACACTCTATTCAACAGTTGAATCAGTGCTATACCCGTGATTCGCAAATTTATGTTCACTTGAAACTAGATCACTATTTTCTTAAACCTATCTAAGATCAGCTAACGTAGTAAGCATAGCGCTATATTTATCGTAGTCCATCTCATCCGACAACACACTGTTAATCAATTTCACTAGTTGTCCGTACAAGAAGCAATCGCGTCCAGCAGGTTTGCAGATCTCCCTGTGGTCCAATGGAACTCCGCGGATCGATCCAATTCCTGGATCTGAAATCAAACAAACATATACAATAATTCAATAGTTCGAGAGAATTGAAGAATTTATCATTACCTGCGGATTCGTAGGCGACGATCTTCAGGTAGATGAATGTCATCAAAGTGAACGAAGTCTCTATAAAACTGAAAATTTCAGGATTGAAAGTTTCATCTTTGCACACTTTCAAGAACCTTTCGTGCAGCCCCAAAACGAAGGGACAATCTGCAAAAAAGAATTTTGTAATCTCGATCTCGGAAATCTTCGAATGATAGACCTACTTCTTTGAATCTCCGTTAATTCGATGCTTTTTCTGAGGAACGGTAAATTGAAGTCGGCAAGGATGGAGCCTCTGTGCGGCACGCTGTAAAAGAGGATGCCCTTCGTCTGCTGGTACAAATCTCCGATCCCGGATTGACCTTTCATATCCCAAGAATCGGCGATGAGTTGCTTCACGAAGAGTCCGCCCTTGGAGTGGCCCACCCAGACGATGGGGTTTTGACCTACGCCTAGATTGAGCAGATGCTCGATCATCTCTTTGCTTCTCTCCGTCATGTTAGTGCTGCAATAAAACAAATCGATTGATAAAGAAACAATTTATGATTAGTTCTGTTGGATAATTAATTACCGCTTGCGTTTCTTGATCCAAACTGGCCTCCAAAGGTGCGTATCGGTGGTGTAGTTCAAAGCGATCACCCTTATTCCGGGGCAGTCCTTCGGTAACCACTCCTGCGGCCAGCACGGCGTGTACTCCTGCTTAACAGGAACATCTTCGTTCTTGAGTACGACAAAATCGTTATCGATGCAATCATCGATCGTTCTCTTCGCAATCTTATTTGGTGGAACTAAGGGATTTCCGGACACGCTCCTCTTCAGCGATTTGTGAGTGGATGTTGTAGCTTCCGGTAGATCACCTGCAAATACAAATATATATATTATTAATATTAGCGACGAGTATTTGATGTGGGCAACTACTCTCACCAGTTGATTGGCTATGTCCCATCGCCTTGTTCTGGCTGAGCTTATGTTTCGGATGTCGCCACAGACCTTGTTTCCAGGTGTTACCAAGAGACCCGTGAAGACCGTGGATGAAGATGACGTCCGCTTGGATGTCTCCATCGGGTTCGCTCAAGACGATGCAATTCACGCACTTTTCGGGCGGTTCTTCGTCGGTCTCGCATTCGATTTCCAAGCCGCTCGACTTGATTGGTACGAAGGTCAAGGGGTAGATGATACCTCTCTGCACGGACGAAAGGGATCTTGATAGGTAGTTGGCGACGACGGCCCATACAGCCGGTAGGATTTGTCTGCGCACATTCTCCAACACTGACTTTTGGTTTCTCAAGTACGCGTAGTAGGCGCCCACGACGGTCGGTAGCAATGAGTCCGTCAGAAGGGCAACGGCCAATCGTATCTTCCTGCAAGTCGAAAATTTATAGAGATTAATAAAGATAGTTTTTCAACTTGGACAACAAATTGTATCAACATTGATAGTCCCCCCATGATATTATATCTGTTACTTTAGCAGAATTTGAGTAATTTACTAAAATGTGACATTGATAATAGAGAAAGTATCAATACTACAATTTTCTTTCAATAATAGAAACTGCAAATTTTAAATATATCTTAAATGAATTAATATTTCAATTGCTAAACACGCTTGCTTACGTTCTTGTTGTTGTTGTTGTTACTACTTCGATGAAGATTTATTCCGCAGCAGATCTGTCATTTCTGGATGAAAAATTGCTTTGTTTACAAATAAACAATCGCTTTGCGCTTAACGACAAAAACGCGTAATCGCAGTGGAATATTCTCGTAGAAGATAATACTGCGCCGCAGCGCGTTACATAAGAGGCGAGAAGAACATTAAAGATAAGCGAACATATACTCAAAATCTAGAACAGAAAAGTAAACAGAAGGCGAAATCGACGGCAATATTGCGCAACAATATTTGTTTTGTAGGGATTTCGATCGGAGAGTGCTTCTGTCAGAAAGAGATAACTTTTGTTGTTGATATCAACTGACATAATAATTAATGGGATAATCATTTAACGCTTTTTGACATATGCAATCAACAATGCAATCAACGGAAAGTATGCGCGAAAACAAGCGTTAGCAACGTATCATCATCATCATCATCGTGTATAACAGACGAGTGTTTAGTGCGTGTATTTGCAGATTAGATACATCCTGTTGCGTCGCGTTTCAGAAACCAATTAACGTAACAATTGTCATGGAATTTATCCAATTCGCTGCATTGGAAAAGGGCGTTTCGCTGATTTGCTGATTGTATTCACGATCGTGCAAAGTCCGAGTGAACTATTATTTGTTCCATTATACTCTGCTATTGAAGTGAAGAAATTAGAGAAAGTACAAAAAATAAACTAATCGATATCTTGTTTATAGATGGGTTATCTATCGCCGATTAGAAAACCTATTCACATTTGTATTACATTAAGGTTTTGAATCTAGGAGCGTTTGTTGTTATTGTCGTTCGTTTGTTTCTTATTTGTTTCTTTTTCTTGTTTTGTTTAGAGTTCGAAGACCGCTTGATCTTGTTACGAGAAACTTCTTGCATTGCCTACTTATTATGTGAAAGTAGTTTAACTTAATGATAAAAAAAAATGTGGGGCATAGGACGAGAAGATGTTTGTTTTCGAAGCAATTACTGTTAATCAACATACTTAACGATCGTATCTATCCAAAATAATTGTGTATCTAATAATATACTTTCGAATTTACTCCAAAATCAAGTAACAGTAAAATATATCAAATTTTACATAAAAAGTATTAAAAATTGTTTATAATATATAACTGTGACAGTCAATTAAAAGAAAATGAGTTCTCGTTTCTTTTGATATGTAATAAAGCTGTGCGATAAACATGATTTTGTTTCGGAGCAGACCTAAATGCTAATGAATTGAAGCCAAGTTTAGAATGAGTTCATGGTGAGAGACTTCTCCTCCTCCTTGCATTTGAAAATCTGAAGAAACGATGAGGATTTAACAATATTTATATAATTGTAGAAGTGAATATGTGATGAATTTGAAGTTGTCCTTAAATGTGTGTTTAATTGAATGTTTCGAAAAGTGTATGAGAGTGAATATTCAAATTCTCTTGTACGTGAACAGAAATGTTGCTGCGCTTCGATAAATATTGATGTCCGTCCGACAGAATCCTTGAAGATTTTATGCATGAAGGCGATGCGAATATCGGATGGATGGATGGATGGACGTGTGTCTGTATGCGTGTGCGATTGATACCACCACCACCTTCGCCGATTTCAGCTGCAGGATTATTATAAATAGCGGGCGGAATGAGTGCGAGAGCGCCGTTCAGTGTTTAGCCTTTCGAGCATTAGCAACAAGCAGCAAACTAGAATCATCTTTCAGAATGCCGTCGATGCGTTTAGGCGATACCATCCCCAACTTCAAGGCCAACTCCACGAAGGGCCCCATCCAATTCTACGACTTCCAAGGCGATTCGTAAGTGCAATAACCACTGAACTCTTCTTAGTGAAACACCAAGTAATTGTAAACTGTACGTAGATGGGTCGTGCTGTTCTCGCATCCTGCTGATTTCACCCCAGTCTGCACGACAGAGTTGGGTCGTATTGCAGTGCACCAGCCGATGTTCGCCAAGAGGAATGTTAAGCTCCTGGCGCATTCTTGCGACAAGCTGCAGAGCCACGTCGATTGGGTGAACGACATCAAGTCTTACTGCTTGGACATTCCCGGGGAATTCCCTTACCCCATCATCTCCGACGAGACCAGAGAACTCGCCGTGAGGTTGGACATGATCGACGAGACGAACAGGGACAGCGAAGATCACGCCATGACCGTGAGGGCTCTCTACATCATCGACCCCAAGCACAAGTTGCGTCTCTCCATGCATTATCCAGCTTCGACCGGTCGCAACGTCGAGTAAGTTAACAAACATCTCATTTTACAAACTTGTTGTTTGAAACTCTATACGCTTATAACATAATAATAATAATAATCTTTTTCTGTTTCTGTTTTACAGCGAGATTCTTCGTGTCATCGATTCGCTGCAGCTGGTGGACAGGATGCCTCATATCGCCACTCCAGCCAACTGGGTCGTAAGTTTCATTTCACCAAAATCATCTTTTTTTCTTTCTTTCTTTCAATGAAACTCTCTTCCTCAGCCCGGAGAGAAAGTGATGGTCGTGCCGAGCGTTAAGGACGAAGACATCGAGAAACTTTTCCCAGGCGGAGTCGACAAAGTCTGCATGCCTTCCGGCGTTTCCTACGTGCGCACCACCACCAACTACAACTGATCACGTTCCCAAAAACATTCTTTATGTTTTTATCAATAACCGCTTTCTTCTTATATTAGGAATAAAATCCATGTATATAAACAAATAAATTAAAGTTAAACACAAAAATCACCTTTCATTCAATAACTGCACCTGAAATGTGCATGAAACGAGTATAAATTTGTATTCTATAACGAATCAATATCTGAAATGCGCATGAAACTTTATTTACCAAGATATTTGAGATTTTATAAAAATTACTTATTTACCAAAAAAAAAGAGAAAAAAACGTCAAAAACCACATACATACACACACACACACACACACTCTAGATAACAACATGCGAGTAGAATAACAAACATTAATCACTGACAACAATTTAGTTATAAATAGCAAAAAGATTAAATAACGATATTGTTTAAGAATTTAAGCATGTTGTAAACACATATAAATTATTCAACAAACGTAACTTGATCGTAATTACATTAATAATTAATATATAAAAGTATTGTAATCGATTCTGAGAATGTAAATAATTATTAAATGTATATAATCTAATTGGAAAATGATTCTCTATCGCTATATTCTATCACTAATTGTATTTCAGTCTATTAACAATAACAAGAATCTTCTATAAGATGTTTGTAATATGATATAAAATATAAATGAAATATGAATATCAATGAAGATATGTTTCAATTAACGAATTAACGTATGCAATTTGTAATAAATCAAGTTATACTGTAGGCAAATTTCGCAACATGCAAGTATTGCATGTTGTCTGCTTCAAACATTTAAAATTTAAATTTTAAACATATTAATGAAGATTATGAAAATAATTTTATTACTTAAAGAGAAATCACGATTTATTAAAATTGCTGCATAATAATAAACAAATTAAATTCACATGAAATATGTAGGCAACTCAACAACCATATAATATCACATGTTGCCTACATGAAAATGTGAAATTGAACAATAATTTGGCGCATTTTTTAAATGTTATGTAATTCACGTGTTAAACGTAATTTTTGTGTGACTCACTTAAGATTTATTTTTTTTGTATGCAACACGTTCACATTTTTTTTTTGTATTTAAAGCCTTGGAATATAAAAGGCAGCTAAAGATCAAGGATTGTTTTGTTTTGCTTATGAATCTATTGTACTTACTATGTATTTTCGATTGTAATTTCCTTATCGTTAGAATGTGCTATTATGAAATCTTAAAAAAAAACATTATGAAACTGCAGATTACAAATTTTACTTAATACAAATATGAACGAATCACAATAATGACATTAATATTTGATGACACTGACAAAGTCAAAAGTGAATGTTAAAATCTAACTGTCGGTTACAGTGAAGCTATTGTTGCAATAGAAGAAAACCACAAAAATGAAAACGAAATGAAAAACACAACGCACAACTTTCTTTACGTAATTTAAATACAATGGGGGAGTAGTAATATTGCTGTTGTTGTGGATAGTTGTTGAGTAGACGATAAGGCGAACACTTCGAACGAATATGTACTTATTTCTTTCTTTTTTTTTTGTTTATTATTGTCAGCCCACATTTTAATCCCGCCGCAGCCGACACTTATTCACTTGACACAATGCCAAGTGTACTTATATGGGAATAAATGAATCGAATCAAGGTCGCATCAATCGCTGCTGCGAATCCGTGTATTTTTTTTATTTGCGCTTCTCTGCAGCACGATTAAAGTACATTCGCAAATTAACGATTTTAATTTCAAAATTACATTATTTCATTCACTTCAAATTTGAAAAAATATAAATTTGAAAATGCAAATTTTTCGGTTTATGAATATTAATTACTTTTTCATTGAATTGTCTGTATCAAATGAAACTAATTACCAGCAACCTTGAGTGAAGTTTTGATATTTGAAATACACAACACCGTTGCTTAATTGCTATCATTTAGTAATCACAATTACATAACGCAAGAGCAAATAACTGATTCTTACTGTTCGTGTTTGTCGTATGAATGCACCGGAACACAATACTCTTCTCCTCGTCACTCGTTATGCGGAACGTCGCTCGTTAAGTGAGGTTCCACAGTACTTCCTTATTCGATTTACTTCGCATCAAACAAACTATGGGAAGGGCAGATGTTTGCGAATCGAAATACGGTTGTCATAGAAACAACCCATGACATTAGACTACTACGATTCAACATCAAATTATATAAGGTTGTAAATTAATTCATGCGCGTTGAATAATGAATGTAAAGTTAAAGAGCAAATTTGGTTAAAAGTAAACTTTTTTTTTGGGAAGGACAATACGTAATTCGTGTTAATCCATATAAAGTAACCCATCATGATATTCGAGTGGTGTGCGATTAAATGTAAGCTTGCGAATTACGTCAAACGCGCGTCCAAATTGACGATCGAAAGTAGTTAAAAATAAACTTCTAACTAACGTTTGAAATCTAATGTTGTTGTCGTTGTAAATTAGGAATTAGAGATCGATCGATGGAAGAAACGTCATTTATAAAATAAACACGCAATGTGATTCGGTACAAACTCTTTGCCAAAATCTAAAATTACCGCTCAGTTTCATTTCGAAAACTGAAAGCTGCATCATCAAACGACGAACATCCTACGGGTCTTCAACCTGCTGACAAAACTCCGAATACTTTTCTCTTTAGCTAAACGGATAGAGGAGGTATGCAATGCGAAAATCGTTCTAGTCGGAATTGTGGCCGCAATTACCATCAATTTACTACCATCAAACCAATACTTTTCTCTCCCTCTTTTTCATCTATTAACAATGTTTCCATGATGATGACGCCCAAGCCCCAAGATAATCGATTACCAATTGAAAAATCAATCGAATATTAAACGAACGACGGCAGATGTTTCGGTCACCGGGGGTTACGGAAAAACTTCCACGGCCTGTTCGATAGTATCAATTGCTTCAATTATTCGGTATATTGACTGTCGCAGCAGCGGCAGTTATTTTTGATATTCGCACCAAGTGTGCACTAATGATGATCTCGTTTCGCGAAACACGTATCGTACTTACTCGAATCCAGAAATAACAACAAAGAGCCGATGCTCTTGTTATGTTTGTTTACACGTACTCTCACTTGTTTTCGCACGCCTCTCCGAGATATAGTACTTAACGAGGTCTTCCTTTCGCTTGCTATTTTCACGCTTACCTTGGCTGAATATATACATATAACATACACCTGATGCGTACGATATTTGCAATGGCCTTTCATGCGCTATATAGCTAAAACTCACTAATCTTTCATTCCCAACACAACTATTTTGCTTAAATTTTTACATTTTTATCATACAGATAAGCAGAACAAGTTTTTTTTTAAGTCAATATGTTAATTAACCAGTTTCAATCGATTATTGACAATTCCGGAATAAAGTATAAATTAACAATCTGAATTGCAAATGTAACAATTACAGAAGTCAATAGTAAAACGTTACAATGTAACTTAATTTGTACGCAGTTCCTCGTCCGATCTATTTAAACTTCTTGTGTTATGTAATTGCTGTATGCACGAATGCATACTCCAATATTGCATATTAATTAATGCGTTCCAATCGTTGCGGTTAATTGTCAAATGGCATTTGGAGCGAACGCATTCCGCGTTTGCACGAAAACACTTTCGGAATAAACACGCAAATTCCAAGGTAAATAATTTTACTAGAAACTTTACTTGGAACGCGACCGAATATGTCTTGTTGCTACGCCTCAATCCTTCATTTATTTATTTACTTGCACGCTCATTATTGCACATAGACGAACGTGATTTGAACGTGCCAAGGACGGACAAAGTGATACTAAATTGCTTAGCGATGGAAACAACAAATATTCAACTTTGTTTTAAATTAGGATATTAGTTACGTCAAAATCTGACAAGTAGATTCGTCAATTTTTGTTTTGTTTGTTTTCAAATCGCATGTGCTATTTACTCACGTCAAAATGTGACAAATCGATTGTTGTAAGTCATTGAATTATGGAAAATTATATCATTAAATAACGCGTAGTTGACTCACGTTGCTGGTATTGTGATGGTGGATCTGTAAGTCTTGAAGTCGACGTCAACTTCGGTGCTGATTATCACTTGGTCGCACATGAAATCTTCGGCTTCGTACATCGGCTCGTCCTCCTCCATTCTCAATCATCTGAAACAAAAGTTTTGACATGTCACGCTGCGATCGAATGCAATAAACGAATATTAAAACAAAAATCTCTCAGAGATTACTTGATATATTCGAGTACCCTACAAATAATTAGTATAGGCAATTGTCTACTGATAAATGAAATGCTCGATTGATTTTGGGAACATCTCAAAATGTATACAGAAAAATTTGATTTATAGCATTTTTTTCCTCAAAAATATTGAAATGTTAATTTTAACAGTTTAACAAATATTAATTTGTTATTAAACAACATATTATTAATTATAAATTTAGTAGAATTATTACTAGATCTCACAGAAAATACAAATTAAAAAAAAGCATATAGATAAATAATTCGTATCTTGTAATATATGTCTGATTATCATGGATTTCGAGCAATTGCAAAATTCTAATGTGTTAATCGGAATTATTATCTCAAGAATTCGATGATTTATTGAAGCTGATTCGCTTAATATTAACAAATGACGTGCGGAGATAACATTTGATGCACGTTTCTAATTATTATTATCAACGTTGCTTCGAAACAGTTATTAGAAAAGAGATTACAACTTCAGATGAGGAAATACACTTAATTAAGGATGACAATTGTTTGCGTGTAAAATGCGATAGTCGTTGTTTAATCACAAATTCACACTTTATGAAATGTTGCACGATTCTCACTATCAAATCACGCTGATAACAAAAAAAAATATATATATAATAAACTGGAGGGTAACGAACGTTGGCTTTATTTATAGACGTTATATCAAGTAGACATTCATAATAATAGTGACAGAGCAATAGCTTTAATTTACTCAAATGTTTCAAATTAAATTTGACGTTTTACGAATTTCAATTGTTAGCCGCAGCCCACGTTAATTATGTGTTTGTGTAAAAAAACTAATAATCTGACGTTTCTCGTGAACAGAAAAACAAACATTCTGTAAACTTTGCGCACGTTCTGCATAAAAAAAAGTATACCACAATAATATTATGGTTGCGAGACTTTATTGTTACTTAACGTATAATGAAAGCCATCTGCTCTCTATCGAATCTGTATAATTTTGAGAAAAAAAAAACATAGAAATTGATACGCATTTTCTTGAGAAAGTTCCAAGCAGCACACGCGGAGTTCGAGATCAGGTTAGGCAGGTTAGTAACCTTTCCTATTAGGTAACTCTTGTTCCTTCGGTGCACAGTGAACGCCGAAGAAGTAATAAATTGGGACGCCGATTCCGCAACTATACTTATAAATATATTCTTATCTCGCTCTCTTCTCACTGCCATTCATTATTAGCGTGTCACGTTGCTTAAATGAGAGAAAAAAAACAGGCGCTAATCCATCCAGTTACTTTTCGTCGGACGGAAGGGAACGCAATAATGCTGCTCGACACGCAACGCTTTGACCCCGATTTGGCGTTATTATTCTTATTTCACTTGGAAAAAAAATACAGCCGTTGGAACGCGGCCAACTGCGATTAGAAATTGCCATAACAATAACGAGAGAGAGAGAGAGAGAAACGTTAATCAAATATGTAATTTTCATGACTGCAATTTTCGTAAAAAATTCACGACACAAAAATTAAGTTTAATCGAAGCGAATTTACATTTGATGGAATATAATTAAACTAAAAATTAGTAAAAAAAAACTGTTGGTTAAAGAATGTGAAATATTCTGTTTTTTTTTTTGGAAGCGTTACTCTTTAATTTAGCCGCCATTTATATTTCTGTTGAAGTTAAGTTCTTACATTTACATTTTAATCAAAGTAAATACAGTAAAAAGAGAAATAAAGTAAAATTGAAGGTCCAAGATTTAGAGTAAGTGCATATTTACTGGATGGAAATCTTAGTTAAACGAAAGAAGAGACAAGGTGAGAAAGCGGACTTTGAAAGTAATTGGACGTGAAGAATTTTAATGAAAACGAAACGTAATCAATTAAAAGCAAGTGTTTGTTTTCGCTCTTCAATTTCTTATTTTAATAACGATAATACACTAGGAATGAACAGCTTTAGAAAACTGGTCCGAATCGAGTCTGAATCGCTTTCTTTGTCCAGTAAAGTAATTAGAAACAAAAGAACAACAAATAAATAAATGTTGTGTTTCGATGATCAAAACGCACGTGTCTAGATAGACTATGAAGTAACCGATAAAGATTATACTCATTTACATTTAAAAAATATATATATATTTTTAGTATCTGTAGGTCACGATTATTACAACAACATATATTTTTTTCTTTTTGAGCGAAACTGTTTATTTTATTTTGTAAATCCACAATGTATGTTCGATTGAACATTGATCGCTCGAAAACACGTAATGTTTATTTAAATTTATACATATATTTAACATTCCCGCACCAAATAAATATATGTTAACAAAAAAAAAACAGAAGAAAGAAAATAGAGTAACGAATAAGCGTATAAAACGGATCAAAGTTTATCCGCGTTTACTTCGGAATGATAAACTTCGACGGGAAATAAAATTATGTATATAAATTTTTGGCTACTACTACTAAATGTTCAGGTTTGTTTTAATTTCATTTGATTATTTGCGATTAAACGCATTTTTTCGACCTCTAAACCGAACCAATACATCCAATATAATATTTGTTCATATCTTTTTTCTTCGTTTATTTGTTAATGTTACTCGGCGAAAGAATTAAAGGTCAATAAATTTAAAGCTTTTCCAATGTAGTTACAGTGTTGCAATTTGAATAATAACCTTTTGAAATATTTCAATTGTTAGAATTAAGTAGGCGTACACAAAAACTGGCAATGTCAAGGCATTGGTTATTATGTAAGTTGCCATGGTTATTCTATAAATAACGCTTGATGAGTGTCATTTTTGACTTGTCGTTCTTAGCATTTTGTTTTCGAATCAAATCACAGATAAATGTCAAATCAAAAATTGATTTTTTTATACACGTAAATATTGTGAATTTACCTGTTGAAATGACGTAAAATTAACATTGATTCATATGAATATGAACTGAATTCGTTGCGTGATCCCATATAATTAAACCCATTTATTTGACCTTTGAACTTAGGAAATTGCGTTGAAACAAAACTGTTGTAGATGTTAATTTATATGGTCAAATAAATGACAATTAATTTATTGTTAATCAAATCTTAACATTTCTATTTTCATCTTTGATATGATGATGATGATGATGATAATAATAGATGATGTTTATTGGCTTAAAGTTTCCATTATTTAACTTATGATTACTTCACATTTATAGTTTACACGTTAATCTCTGAAGTGATAAGTTCTCTTTTTAGATACACGTTTTTTTATCTGCAAATTTCCGTTCTTGCGGATAATGAATATAAATTGCAGATTTAGATATGCTGTAGATAACTTCGACGAAAATAGACGCAAAGTAAATGTTATGGACGTTGCTATGGTTATTCTAAATATAACGATGGATATGTCATTTGTGACACATCACCTTTGACAATTTATTTTCGGATAAAAATAAAGTGTAGAGTAATTAGATATAATTAGTAAATAAAAAGAACATAATAGATTACAACTATTATTTGTTGAAATTATGTTATTTTCTTTAATGTTTAAATTGTATTCGGTTTTACCGATGAGTGGTAGATTGTATTTGTGGTTGAAAGATGAAATGTATGTGAATAAAAGTTGCAATCTCTGGCGTATTTCCAAGAAAACTAATTCGTAATTCTCAAAAAAAAGAAAAGCTTACGCATGTCTAATAAAACTCTTTTCCAGATTCAGGACATGGAAAACGCACGAACTTTAGTTTTTAATAAATTCGCAACGCTATCTAGAAAATAATATTGATTACGATACGCGTTTGAATAATAGCGTTTACAATGTTTGCGGATTTGTTTTTTTTTGTTATTTGCGCAAAGCTCTTGTTTTTACCTAACAACACGAGATTTATCTTTATTTGTTTTTGTTCATCTTTACCTAACAATTTCTATTGGCTGGAGCGTCTTCAGCTGTAATCCAGTTACGAAGTGAACGTATCAAGTCTGTTTAGTTGCAGCACATGTTGTTGAACTTCACACCGAGTGCAGAATGACGAGCGTCGCGACGTCCACATGAAAGACGGTCTGTCGTACGACTGATGTGCGATTCGCGCGCTCTCCACGGACCGAGGATATTTGAACGGAGACGTGACGCGCCGCGCACGTTCCAGTCCATCAAAGCCAATACTCCTATCAAAAACGAGAGAAGAGGAATAGAAACAAACTAATCAACAAACAAAAGACTAGGAACGAACGTGTTATGTCATCAAACGGCGAAACGCGCTGAAAGTTCTACGATCATCACATTTACATAGTTTTTAAAAAAATAGAAAATATCGTTAGGTTAGGTTCGAGGTTTGGTTAGGTTTGGTTAGGTTAGAGATCAGTTTTTCGTAAATTACTCGATTATCCCTTAAGATAATTACATTACCACTCGTATGAAAGCTGAAGATCTCACCTTTCCAACGCGCCTACATACATCTTTGTAGTTATATCGAGTCGCCTGTTATAACCTGAAGAACATTTTTTTCTCCTTTTTTATTCAGTTTTTACAGTTTTTCGTGATTTTCTCGACAAATCCTTAAGATAGTTACATCATCGACCAGTCGTATGAAAGCTGAATATTTTGTCTTTCCAACAAGGCTACATACATCTTCGTCCTGTCATCGAGTCGCCTGCTATGAGCAGTAGAAATTGAAAAAAAAAAACACATACTTAACGTCTTATACATAACAGAAAAATGACGGTTTTTTCGTTTTATTTTGAGTGTTTTCGGTTATTTTTGAATTTCTCGACAACCCCTAAAGCTAAATAAATCATAGACCACTCGTATGAAAGCTGAAGATCTCACCTTTCCAAAGCGCCTACATACATCCTTGAATTGTCATCGAGTCGCCTGTTATAACCTGAAGAATATTTTTTTCTCCTTTTTTAATCAGTTTGTACAGTTTTTCGTGATTTTCTCGACAAATCCTTAAGATAGTTACATCATCGACCACTCGTATGAAAGCTGAATATTTTGTCTTTCCAACAAGGCTACATACATCTTCGTCCTGTCATCGAGTCGCCTGCTAAGAGCAGTAGAAATTGAAAAAAAAAACACATACTTAACGTCTTATACATAACAGAAAAATGACGGTTTTCTCGTTTTATTTTGAGTGTTTTCGGTTATTGTTGAATTTCTCGACAACCCCTAAAGCTAAATAAATCATAGACCACTCGTATGAAAGCTGAAGATCTCACCTTTCCAAAGCGCCTA